CTGTCATTTCAGGCTTGGCAGACCTATTGGTTGGGGAAAGAGGGGGAAATGGTTCATATTTCAACACAGACAAAGCAGCAGCTTTTTGGTTTTCCCCACAAAAATTTAAGCAATATTCAGCGTAATTACAACATTGTGTTTAAATAAAGTAACTCTGAATTATGATTAGGTGCCCAAATAGTCAATGCATGTGTTTACAGAAATGCTGGGTGATCAGATCTCGTGTCTGTAACGAAGAAAATTCTTCTATCAGTCTGAGAAACTTTCTACCAACAGTTCATGCACTCAAGCATGTCCCAATAGCATCACCACCTACACACTTCAAGCAGAAACAGAGCAGGACAACCAAACACCCAATCCCAGAACCAAGAGGCAAACTGGGAAAGGGAGGGGAGAAAGACATCTCTACCCGCCAACTTAGGGGTGTAGGGAGGTTGCAGAGGATGAATACAGAAATTTAGTGTCACAAATATGGTGTAGAGGCATTTCATGAACAACAGATAAGATAATCTTTTTCCAGGTTCTACGCTTGTGACTTCAGAGAGACACTGAAGTACTGACCTCACAACTGTTTCATAAGATGGGCAACCTCACTTGAGAAAGAGGAAGACCTCAACATCTGGCTGCCCAGCCTGGCTTCAAACACCACTGACCTCCGCAGGATCACTACTCTGTAATCAAGCACATTTCAAGGACATGTTGCCTGTACACCTGAAAGAATGGTAAATTTTGCTAATGCTTTGCAGTGGCCATTTGAGGACTCATTATTTCCAGTAGAGCTAATTTAATGTTCTCGTGTGTACGACAGCCCTACCAATATTCAGAGACAGAACCCAGAAAAGCCCAACCAGAATAAGATAAAATACAATCTTCCAGTAAACTGAACTACATTCTCCAAAACTACTACTCTGCAATAGAAAAATGCTACAGAAAAGCTGCAGCAAAACTAGCAGTACAACTTCAAGCTGAACACGCCTTTTCCTGTCTTCTATAATCTGATCTAGCACTTGCAGACATGTCACAGAAGTAAACAGGATCCAGAGGTAAATGCATATCCTATCATCCTTACTGTATCACCTATGTCTGCAGTTCTATGCAAATGCAGACAGAATAAAGTGTCATCGCTGCCCCTGCATATTGCAGGTTTGTGGCATAAAAAAAAAAAAACCAAACAACGTTCAGTGTAATTTGCAAGTAGGGCAAAATATCTATCTGAAGATCAACAACTGCTGATAGCAAACATCCAAACCCACCCAAAAGTTATCTTTAACAGGAACAAACCTTTAACACATTCAAAGCTTATCATGCATCCGAGCAACTCGGCTCTCATCCCACTTTTCCATTCTCAGAGAATGAGAAGGTTCCTGGAGACTACTTCAAAACGCTTCTCTGTTAACAACTCCCGCAGCAAATTCAAGAAATGCAAGTTCACAGCAAGCACACTGAAGTGAGAGGCAGTGTACAACGGTACTCTTACACTGAAGTACTTTCTCAGTGTTACTAGATACGTAGCACCAGGACCAGACACTCCTCAGCTGCCAGTGCCTCAAAGCAAATGTCAGTGAGAACAGCAAACCACATAACCGAATATCTCTTGAGTATAAATATAAAAGCTAGGAAATGTCTAGTTAAATCAGTTTGCATGTTGTAGAATTAAGATAATGGGTGTGTTTACCCAAGTCATTTCAGGAGATTCTTACTGGAAATCAACTTGCAATGAGAAATCTGAAATGTTAATTAGATGTCAGAAAGCATTAGGCTGATACAGACTAACTGCGTAACTAATCCATGTTAGCCATCTGACTAGAGGCCGTAGGAGAAATAAGCTCGGTAGATGAAGGAGAGAAAGCTGGAGGATGACCAGAATCCTAAGTGTAAGTTACAGGAACTGACTAAGCTACAGAGCCAAAATAGTCTTTAGTTAACTGTGTTACTAGAACTATGTATCACCTGAGTGGCTTCAGTTGGTAATAAAATTTGAGGGATTATAATATTAACCACCTGAGAAGTATTGAAGTGGTATATATTGTACTAAGCTGTAATTAGCTCTCTCCAGTTTTAAAGCACTACACAAGCATTAACTAATGAATTTTCATAAATACTGTTGTTAGTGGCCAGAAGGACCCTATTTTTATACCAAGGAAAATAAATCATATTGACTATCCCCATGACCACTTCAGTTAACAAAATGAGGAAGGACACTCCAGTGAACTAGGCATGGAAACGATGATTTCTAATTCCCTTAAAATACAACCAAGTTTTGTTTTTTCCCCTCTCACGCTGCTATAAAAAGACCACATTGTTTCTTTAGGCTCCTAGCATCACCTCTGGCATTGTAAGTGAAAGATGATGGAGAAAAATGAAAAAAGCAAGAACAGCTCAAGGATCTCTCACAAATGTACATATGTCTTTCAGTTTTAACCATATACATACAGAAACTTTAATCTTAAACCCTCTTTCTCTGTACTTCCTATCTGTCCACGCTACAAATGGCTTCAAGAACTACACACTCTTGCTTCCTTTCCTCCAGAATTTCTATGTAAATTTTGACATTTTTCACTCCTTATCCATCACTGCTCTGTTCTTCATTTACTCACTTCTACCTTTGCCCCAAAGTGTCCTATTCCCATGATAAACAATACTTTCCCAGCATTCCTGTGTGAACCATGTTTTTCAGCACAGTGTCAAACTCGGTCCAGTGAAAAAAGTTAAACTCACTCAACAGTCTGAAAAGAAGTTAGAGTATATACAGTCCAATAATACTCTTCTACCATGCTCAGTCCCAGAATTTTACACTTTTTTTTATGCCACTTTTCCCTCTCTCCTACTCATCTAATGGTTGCTTGTATCTCTCCTTTCATTACATGTTTTGCCACAAGCAGTTGAACTGGAAGCAGAATAGTATTTTTCTCTTATTCCCCATTCTACAATGCTAACAACTTTCAGTCTTGAATCCTTACTTCAAGAGTTAGTACTTGACATAACTGAACTATCTGCGTCTCTTCCAACTTCCCCCTACTCAACCTCCTGACTCGGGTACGCCTGTCACTCCCTCCTTAACCATTTGTGTCTTCCTTCCATGTTACTGCACATGTCTAAACTCTCTGAGTGCTCTTCTACAAAGCCTGTCAGCAGGTACAGCAAAAATACGTACTGCTTTCAGGAGTCTTCCGCCATTCTGCCGCCCACATGGAGCTTTGTCATAACTTAAGCTGGAAGCTTACTGGGGTAAAACCGAGACTTCACGCTTGGCCAGCACTGATCACACTGCCTGCACTCAATACAATGACATCATTCCATTTTTTTTTTCATGTTTATAACTTGGCATAAATATCTTGGGCTGAGATTTTGAAAGGATTTAGGAAATAAAGCAATGTGAGTATAAATAAAGCAGTTACCTTACTTTCAAAAATTAGTATTAGGATAGTACTCAACTATTAAGAGCACTTAAAAAAAAATTCTTGAGTTCTGCCTAAAACACAACATGATCCATATAAATTTTTGCAGAAAACATTATACAGATTTAGGGATTTCCAAAAGAAAGCAATAGTTCTTTTTCTGTCGGATTCAGACGAACACATTCTTCAAATCCTACTCAAAGCGAAACTCTGCACATGCTTCAGTTATGGAAAGAACCTACTTCTCAGAGACTCTAGACAACAGAATAGTAATAGCTCCCTTTTCCTTTGCTACTTAGCCTGAAGTCACTAAAGATGCCTAATCGAACAAAAACCAATTTTATTTAACGAATTTTAAAACAGATCACTCCAGCACAGAAACTACGTCACTAGAAGTGACATCTGCACCAGAAGAGGATCTTGACTACAGCAGAGCAATTACCCTTTTATGATCACTTTGAAGGCAAAATGCAAGGAGCAATAGGTCTCATTAGAAACTTATTTACATGGCTCAGAACTAGGCTGGGCAAGTGATAGGCTACTCAAGCACCTGCCCATTCTGCAATCTCTCGAAGACATTCCATGATCAGGGCCATACATATTTATAGAGTATTTACACAACCTATTTAAGGCTGAGTATGATTACACAACCATTCATAATAGCTCAACAGGAGACATCATCAGCTATTGTTCAGATTCACACTAACACAAAGGTTATTTTTAAGACATAAAAACACAAAGCCACTTAAGGTTTAAGAGACCTACAAGAACAGATTTAATCTATTTTAAGGTTCTCAACCCCCACCCCCACAAAACCCTATGCCACTGGCATTTACTACACAAGTCTATGAACCAATAAACAGCAAATTTAACTTAAATTCTTCGTTTCCTTTTGCAGCATATGCATGGAAATGGAGCGAAGGCACTTCAGCTGTCACGGACAGTTAAAGCTCCGGCTCAAGAATTAAGACGTTTCTTTTTCCTTTCTAACCCCACTAGGGAACTGTATACTCCATCTCAACCCCACTATTAAATTGTATACTCCATCTTCAGCTGAGAACTTCAATATAACAAAAATCTCATTACATGAGTATTAACATAGACATTTAAAATTAAACAGGAAGTATACAGAGGGAATGTTTGCTAGATTGCTCAAATTGGAAGAGAAGGGATTTGTTTTTAAATTCTTCTCATTAACCCATGCAGATCTTTTCTTAAAAATCACATTACTGTCAAGAATGCCTTTACTGCAAACCGTTTTTTTTAAGTCGATGAACTAGTTAAAAAAGGGTAAAAATAATCACATGGTAAAAACACTACACAGGTACTAGCTTTGTTACAAAACATAAAAGCCCTCTATACCTCAGGTTTCTCACATATGAAATGAGGACAATTACGTCAGCAGCTCTTTATTATTCTTGTTTTATAAAAAGGGGGGGAAGGAGCTAAATGCATCTGTTTGCAATACTGCACTGTAACAGTCTACCATTCAAAAATACTTAAGACCCGTAAGCAGGCCGCTTGATCAGCGTTTTACAGAAAAGCAACACAAGAACAAGAATCATACACACTCAGTTAAAAACACTGGAGCACAAATCTTACCAGCTGGAATTCTCTGCGCCTGTCGTACGCGTGCTGGATGCCACTATCCGCCCAGAGAGCTCTTATGGCTGGAAGGTACTGCAAAAAAACTGACGTCTCCACCATGCCTTGCACCACCATGACTGACCGAGTATCAAAAGCCATCATCGTATCTCCATTACTCTGGTTAGCAGGATCTCCCCAAGGGATATGAAGTTTCTCTCTGGCATCTACGAGGACTCTCACACCTTTAACAACATGAAAGAGCATTGCAATTAGACTTTCTCAGCATCTACTATTTCACTAGCCTACAAATCTGCAAGGATCCAAACAATGCACTTACTCTGTACAGTCAAAGCTCAATAGGACTATCCACCCAGCAGGAAATCAGAAAGCTTCTGAAAAATCGACTCAAAGCACTACATTTTCAGGTAACGTCAAAACTCAGATATTTGCCATCAGAAAAACACGACCACGATCAACAGTGTAATATCCGTAGCACAAGCTTAACTCTTGAAAAAGTGCTGGTTTTAATTACTAAATCCCCAATCCGTGCTACCAAGCACGCTCTTTTACAGATATTTATACTTCCCTCTGATCTCCAGAGCCATTCTACAGTCGTTAAATTTACGTGGCACGAATACAAGACAAATGAAATATGTTTAAAAGCTTATTTCAGAATCTGATAAACCATCTGACGGCTTATTTTAAGGTTCCGCAGTCCTTGTATTCTTATTAACTTGGTATCTAGTTATATCTAATTGTAGAGAGTTATCACTGCCTTTAACGTTTTCAGAGATACGAAGACATTTACTAAAATCACTGCACTTTCTAAAAAGTATGTTTTTACTGCTTAAGTGCAGAAGGAGTTGAAGAAAGACTTCCCTGCACTTTTTGTTGTTGTTTTGGTAAATATTCTCTAGGAGAAACAGAGTATTTTTAAACTTCTCTTACACAGGACTTTAAAAGAAAAAACATTGTGATCAGTAAGGGAAATGCAGGGAAATGAATTCTAGTACTAAATTTACTGATGAAAAAATGAAAATAAAAAAAAAATCCAGTAAGAATAAGCAACTGTAAAGGCGTGGTGAGAGGTATAAAGAAATTAAGATGTAGTAACAGATGTCTGTATAATAACATACTTGTTCAATGCTAAAGTATTATTTTCAAACTTCCTTCTCTTTCCATAATTTTTCTACCTGTCAAAACCAATGACTGCAGGAAAGCAGCCTCCAAAAAAGATATGCAGTTCCTACATGCATACTTTCACAGACTAGGAAGTACCTTACTTGGTTAATAAACTTTAACCTGGTCAACATCCACGCTCGTGATTTCTACTGCCTTGCTATTTATAGTTTTTCCAGGCTTGATTCGTAAACAGTTTTGTAAAACTCTTTAAGAATCACTGGACTGCATCCCCCTCCAAGAGCGGGGCTGAGGTCTGACAATGAACGCCTTGCTGTTCTGAGAAACTTAGTTAAGACTTTGTCCAACAATTACACAGTCCAAACCGAAAATCTGACGAGCGATTTAGACAAGAGAGAGAAAATAAGTAAGGATGACCCATTAAGTAAGGATGACAGCAGTGAAATCAAGAGCCCGCTCCTAAAGTGCGTGTGGAGGTTTTGGCAAGGCATCTATGAAAAGTGGCTCTGCGTGCGGGTTTCTGTTAATTGATGTGTCAGCCTAGTTTCCAACACGATGGCAACGTTTCTTCCACCGAGGCGAAATGCAGAGAGCGCTTCCTCCTCGGGCGCCGGACACGTCTCATCCTCACGCACTTTCAGGTGCATCTCTCCCCCATCCATTCCCGCTCGTCTCTGCGATCGCGTTACCAGGAAATGGCAAGGCTCGGGACCCGACGGACTGAAGCCGCTGCTCCCGGGGCCGAACCCGCCCCCCGCAGCCCGGCGGGCCGCGCCCGGGCCAGCGCCCGCCGCGGGGGACGCCCCGTCCCGGCAGGGCTGACACCTCGCGGGGGGCCGCTCGTCCTCGGCGGGCGGGAGGAAGGGTGAGGCGCCCGAAACGAAAGCGCCGACCGTGCGGG